GTTAATGGGTGTCAAGCATGGTCACTGAGCTGTGCTGTAGAATGTTAGACCTGCTCCCTTAGCCATGTTCTCTCCGTCCCTCTCCCCTCTGGCTAATTCTTGGCTTCCCCTTTGGGCCTGGGCTCAGTGACCTCTTCCTGGGGGAGGCTCTCCTGGCCCTCAGTGTCAGGTCTCTGCTCTGCGCTCATCCATAGCACTCCGGCCTTCCTAGCAGTACCAGGAGCCCTTGGCATTCTTTTTCTTTCTTTTTGCCCCTGGTGCTGGGGATAAACTCAGGGCCTCACCATGCCAGGCAGACTCTCCTCAGCCTCTCGAGTAGAGTCACTGAAATTACAGGGGTGCACCACCATTCCCAGCCCCTCAGAATTATTCTTTTTAAAAAAATATATGGGGGCTGGGATGTGGCTCAAGCGGTAGCGCGCTCGCCTGGCATGCGTGCGGCCCGGGTTCGATCCTCAGCACCACATACAAACAAAGATGTTGTGTCCGCCAAATACTAAAAAATAAATATTGAAAAGTTCTCTCCCTCTCTAAAAAAAAAAAAAAAAAAAAAATATATGGGGCTGGGGATGTGCCTTAAGCGGTAGTGCACTCGCCTGGCATGCGTGTGGCCCAGGTTCGATCCTCAGCACCACATACAAAGATGTTGTATCTGCCGAAAACTAAAAAATAAATAAATATTAAAAATTCTCTCCCTCTCCCCCCCTCTTAATATATATATATATATATATTTTTTAAATTGTAGATGGACACAATATCTTCATTTTTGTTTATTTATTTATTTATTTTTATGGAGTGCTGAGGATTGAACCCAGAGCCTCATGCATGCAAGGCAAGCACTCTACCATTAAGCCACGACCCCAGCCCCCAGAATTATTCTCATTGGGTGTCTTTCTTTCTGCTGGACTGTGATCTTGAGGAGGGGCCTTCCCTATGTTGCTGTCCTTGTTGGGGGCAACTGTGTGCGCATTCTCTGTCAGTGCCAGGTACATTGCAGGTGTTCAGTGCACAGTTAGTGAATGATCATGACCCATGGCTGGAGGAAAGTTCTTCTGGTGAGAGACTTTCCTTGATTGGAGGGACTCTGCATACCCAAGGCCAAGGGTGTGGTTGGCTACAAAGATTACTTGGAAAGACAGGCCTACCATCTAATAGGGGAATTTATAATCCAGAACATACTTTGAAAATTGCAAAACCCTCTAACAGCCAGAGAGCCTGTAGAGTGTGTGGTTTGGAGGTGGTTTGAGTGTGTCCCCCAGAGGTTCACGTGCTGGAAGCTTGAACCAGTGTGGGAGGGTGGGGGGAGTCTTGAAGAGGTGGGGTCTAGTGGGAGGTAATCAGGTCGTGGGGACTCAACCTCATGATTAGATGAAGAGCAAGGGTATTGTTATAAAGTGAGGTCATCCCACGTGCTCACCCCTTCTGCACAGGACTGATTCTATTTCCACTTCACTGCCATGTTGTAACACAGCCAGGGAATGCTCTCCAGGATGTCGGCTACATGCTGTTTAGACCCTCTAGCCACCAGAATGAGAGCCAAGTAAACTTCTTAGCTTTATAAGGTAGCCAGCCTCAAGTATTTTGACATAACAATGCAAAATAGACTAAGACAGCCCCCATTTCCTCCTAAATAACCCCCCTTCCCCTGCTGGCTCATTGAGTCTTGGCTTCTTGGATTGGGGCCCAGCAATGTCTTGAGTTCTAGGACCCTACACAGCACTGGACAATCTAGGGCCTCGTGTGGTAGCTACAGAGGCTCATGGTGGCAGTTTGAGGAGTCATGCAGGCAGCATATGGTCTAGGCTCTGGATCACCTGCCTGACTTTTAGCTGTTTTAGAGACTTCACTAAGAAAGCGCCTATTGAAGCTGGATGTGGTGACGGATGCCTAGAACAGCTACTTGGGAGGCTAAGGTTTGAGGCAGGAGGATTGAGGCCAGCCTTGGCAAGTTAGGGAGACCCTGTCTCACAATAAAGTAAAAAGGACTGGAGATGTAGCCCAGTGGTAGAGCATGCCTGGGTTCAAGCCTCAGTACCACTAAAATAAACAAAAAGCACCTATTGGGGGTGGAGTGTAGCTCAGTGGTAGAACACTGGCCTAGCATGCATCAGGCCGTGGGTTAGATATCCAGCATTGCAAAATAAATAAATCAATAAAACATTACAAAGTACCTATTTTCAAACTTCTCTGGAGGGAAACCTTGAAGGCAAGGGCTCATATTCATTTCTAGGGTTTGAAATAATGCCTCAAAATCAGTTACTCCTGAAGGGATAGGAAACCTGCATCTAGAAACCTCTACTAAAAAATTATTAACATTGGTGGATCCCCAATTTCCCTGACCCTCTGTCCTGTTATCCCAAAGATATTTTGTCACGAGGCATACGTAGTTCCACATGCCACGTGCACGGAAGATGCTTTGGAAGTGTCAGATTCTAAGTGCTCACAGTCAGTCACTCAGGGCCTCCCCCACAGGGAGGCCACAGTGGAGAGGGCTCCCTTGGGTGCAGCAAGGGCTGAGGCTGGAGAGGCCCAGCACTAGGACCCAGGGGCCGAGTGTGGAGCCAGCTCAGCAGGAATAGTTCCCAGCCAGAACACAGTGTTCTTGGTGTACCCACAGGAAACCCCAAGAAGAGGGCTGCACATGGCCGCTGCTGGGCGTGTGCTCTCTCAGCCTTTTATTCTTTTTCCTAACCTCAGTCCCCACTTTCACATCCTGTAACCTGCAAAGCTGCCCGCCCCACCCGGCTGGGCTGGTCCCAGGCCCCAGGAGAGCAATCAAGGCAGGAAGCCCAAGACCTTGCCCGTGTCACCATCTTCAGATGAGACCCGTTGCTCCTAACCTTGGTTTCCTGAATGGACCGTCTGTGATGGAAACTTTTTGCAGTGCAGAAGGCAGACAAAGCTGCGCTTCTAGCCTTGGCCAGGGTCTTGGCCCCAGTGCAAGGGAAACAGCTGATGGTGCAGGGCCACCTCCTCCCTTCCTCCCCCAAGGCCAGGCCCCACCTGGGTGGGGGTGGGTCCCCACTGCCGCTGCATAAATCAGAAGGAACTTGGAGCTGTCCTGGAAACCAGAGCCAAGTTTGCTGCAGAACATCCTATGATGTGGTTCCTAGTTTTTATTTCCACGAATGCTATAATATGTTGTCCCACCGAGCTATTTTTATTGAATGAAAAATTTTTTACGAAATTTAAAAAAGCAAACCACTGCAGAACCAACAGGCCTGTGACAGGGAAGGACAAGGTGAACTTTTCACTTCCTTTCTTGCAGCCTATCAACTCCATCTGTGGTTTGGTGTCGCCCACACTTTTGTGCTATATTCAATCTCAATTTTTGCCTCTTTGTTTCTGAGGTCACAAGAGCAAGGCTTTTTTTTTTTTTTAATACCAGGGATTAAACCCAGAGAGGCTCAGCCACTGAGCCACATCCCCAGCTCTTTTTATATTTTATTTTGAGACAGGGTCTTAATAGTTGCTTAGGGCCTTGCTACATTGCTGAGGCTGGCTTTGAATTTGCAATCCTCCTGCCTCAGCCTCCTGAGCAGCTGGGATTATAGGTATGCACCATGGTACTCAGCTAGGCTCTTAAACCTGTGTCACTTCTGTAAGTTACATGGAGCTTTTTTGCCCCGAGTACTAGGGATTGAACCCAGAGCCTTGCAAAGTACCAAGCCAGGGGATGTGGCTCAGTGGGGAGCACTTGCCTAGCATGTGTAAGGCTTGGGTTCAATACCCAGTGCTGGGAAAAAAAAAAAGACTTCTGGCGTGTTCTCAAAACAGATTGCAAAATGTGGACCACCGGCCTTTTGGCCAGGCCTAAGCAAAGGCAGGCCCAAGAGTGAACAGCAGAAGTCTGCAAGAGAGCCCACCAGAAGTCTAGCAAATTCCCAGCCAAATTCTGGCCAACTGTGCTATTGGGGGCCCTGCAAATAAGGAATGGAGCTCTATGTGACAGACTGCATTTCTGGCCCCTTAATTAGCATCCTAACCATTGAAAATGAGACTCCGTGCTAACAGGAAGCTCCATTAATAGGGCTCCTTCCACTTTGGGGTTTTAGAGTCTTTTCCCAATTATTGGTTGGTGAGAGTGTGGACTCACTTCAGACCTGTAAAATAGATTTTGTGTGTGTGTGTGTGTGTATGTATGCGTGTGTGCTGGGGATTTCACTCAGGGCCTTGCATATGGTAGACAAGCACTCTACCACTGAGCTGCGTGCCAGCCCCTGTAAAGAGATTTGACTGGGTACTTCCCTGAGTTGCCCAAACTACAGATGCCCCTCTTGGGGAAGGAGCTTCCAAAAGCAAGAAATGCTGCTACCCCTGGGGTGGCCCTCTCAAGGTGGGGGCCCCCAAAAGACTTGGATTCTAGTCTTAGATTTTTCTTTTTTTTTTTAATATTTATTTTTTAGTTGTAGTTGGACACAACACCTTTATTTCACTTGTTTATTTTTATGTGGTGCTGAGGATTGAACCCAGGGTCTCGCACGCGTGAGGCAAGTGCTCTAGCGCTGAGCCACGACCCCAGCCCCAGTCTTAGATTTTTCAACTTGCTGTATGACCAATGCAACTCACTTCCCAACTTGAGACTTCAATACCCTCATTTAAGGAGCGTTGGGTTATCGCTTCTGTGTTGAATTGTGTCCCCCTCAAAATTTATATGTTCAAGTCCTAATCCTGGTACTACATAGTGTGAGCTCATTTGGAGATAGGTCTTTTTTGTTTGTTTGTTTTTTGGTACCTGGGATTAACCTTAGGGGTGCTTAACCACTGAACCACATCCTTAGCCCTTTTTCATATTTTTATTGAGAGACAGGGTCTCACTGAGTTGTTTAGGGCCTTGCTAAGTTGCTGAGGCTGGCTTTGAACTCACGGTCCTCCTGCCTCAGCTTCCTGAGCTGCTGGGATTACAGTGTGTGCTACTGTGCTTGGCTGGAGATAGGTCTTGACAGTGGTCATCAATGAGGTCAGTAGGGTAGGCTCTGATCCTAATCCAAAAGGACTTTGTCTCTGAATAAAAAGGCAAAATTTGCCCAGAGACATGTACAGAGGGAAGACTATGTAAAGGGACATTGGTAGAAGATGGCGTCTATAAGCCAAGGAGGGAGGCCTGGGGCAGATCCTTTCCTCATGGCCTTCATAAGGGAGCAACCTGTGGACCTCTTTCTTGGTCACAGACTCCCAACCTTCTGAACTGGGAGGTAAGAAGTTCCTGTTGTTTCGGTCACATAGTCTGTGATATTATTATTATTATTTTTATTTTTTGGTATGGGGGGTTGAACCCAGGGATGCTTAACCACGGAGCCACATCCCCAGCCCTTTTTTATTTTTTGTTTTGAGACAGGATCCCACTAAGTTGCTTGGGGCCTCACTAAATTGCTGAGGCTGGCCTTGAGTTTGTGCTCCTCCTGCTTCACCTTCGGAGTCACGGGGGTTATAGGTGTGCACCACTGTTCCCAGCTCTTAGGCTGTAGGTTCTTTCTGGCCCTCCCAGCCATACCTTGGTGGCTCCCTGCCATCCACATGGCCTTTCTATTATCTCTTCCCAGTGAGTAAATGACATCATGTGTGGGAAGTGCTTGGCACAATGCCCACATATGGCCCCTTGCTAACCGTGATGAATGTTCTCAGCCACTGGGAACCACTTGTACCTACCCTGAGACCCTGTGTACCAAAATGAGATGTGTGGGTCCCCAGCCCAGTCCTCCTCCTCACTCCTGCTTCATTATTGAAGACTTTGCCACCCCACAGCAGCTTTCAAATCTGAAAGCCTTGTAGGGCATGGGCATGGTGGCGCACACCTGTAATCCCAGTGACATGGAAGGCTGCGGCAGGAGGACTGCAAGCCCGGGTCAGCCTCAGCTACTTAGTGAGACCCTGTCTCTAAGTAAAGTAGAAAAAGGACTAGAGATGTTGCTCAGCGTAGAGTGCCTGGGTTCCATCCTCAATACGGAGTAAAACAATCATAAAAAAACCCGAAAACAAACCAAAGCCCTGAAAGTATTCAGTTGGCATCTTCCTGGAGCCCAAATCTTTTATAATTATTTTTGGAGGTATTGGGGTTTGAACCCCGGGGTGCTCTACCACTGATCTACATCCTCACCTCTTTTTAAATCTTAAGACAGGGTGCCCCTAAGTAGTCCAGGATGGTCTTAAACTTCTGATTCTCCTGCCTCAACCTCGAAGTCACTGTAATTGCAGATGTGCACCACCATGACTGGCCCAGTTCTTTTTTTTTAAAAATTATTTATTTGTTTATTGGTTCTTTTTAGTTGTGTATGATAGCAGAATCCATTTTGGTGTAATTATGTAAGCACGGAATAGACCTTATTCTAGTTAGAGTCCCGTTCTTATGCATGTCCATGGAGGTGGGGTTCGCTGTGTTGTTTTCATATATGTTCCTTGCTTATCCTCCATCCTTTCCCTCCAACCCCCATCGTCTAATCTACTGCATTTCTATTCTTCCCCTTTCACTTCCTTATTGTGGGTTAGCTTCCACCTATCAGAAAATATTTGACCTTTGTTTTTGGGGGACTGGCTCATTTTACTTGGCATGATAGTCTCCACATCCATCCATTTACTGGCAAATGTCATAGCCATTCTTCTTACTGGCTGAGTAATATTCCATTTTGTATATATAGCACATTTTCTTTACCCGTTCATCTGTTGAAGGGCACCATAGCTTAGATATTGTGAATTGAGCTGCTATAAATATTGATGTGGCTGTGTCGCTGTAGTGTGCTGATTTTAAGTCCTTTGGGTATAAACCAAGGAGTGGGATAGCTGGGTCAAATAGTGATTCCATTCTAAGTTTTCTGAGGAATCTCCATACTGCTTTCCAGAGTGGTTGCACCAATTTGCAGTTCTTTTTAATGGAGCCACAGAGCCAGCAGGTCTAGAAAGAGACAGAAGAACTCCGGGTGGAAGACTGTTTCTCTGTCCTGGAGTAAGACATTCTTTGCCTGTGTGAGCTGGTCCGCAGGCTCTAGAAACCTCTGGGGCTAAGCCTCAGGTTTCCCATTTGCCTGCTGAGAACTGGCTGGCAAGGTCCTGAATCAGTCTTGACCACTGCAGGTGTCAGGGGCTTGACTCTCTGACTGCAAGGCACTGCCCCCTTGCTCCTCCACCCTCCCTTCCAGCTTCTGTTCTAGCTTCCAGGATGAACCTCCCTCTGTGTGGAGAGATGGTCTGGGGACAGTGTCCTGTGTTCTGATCCGGGTCCACGGGTCCCTGGAGGCCATAGGGTCCTGTACTAGAGCTGGACTCCGAGGCTGGCCAGAGGGTCTGCTTTCCTTTTCGTTATCGGGAGTCTTGGGGAAGCATTCTCTAGCCTAGGGCACTGAAGTGGGGCCACAGGATGAACCTCAAGTCCTCTCTGGGCAATGACTCTGGTCTGGGATGGTCAAGTCCTAGGTTATATTCTCATCCATGTGGGTTTGAGAGCTTAGTCGCGCTGATTTTGTAGAATATTTCAGATTGACTCTGTTTTGGAAACTCTGCAGAGAGTTAAGTGGGGATTGGGAGACTTGAGCGGCCCCCAAGCATGACCTTTTGGTTTGCTAAACAAATGAAATGTCTGTATGGTTTATCTTTAAAATGTGCCCAGAGATTTCTGAGAAAGGGCTTGGAGCAGACTGCAGGCTTTCAGGGCCCAGGGAAGGAAGGAGGAGAAACCATCTGGGGGAAAAACATCTCTCAAAGATGTGTATATGTTTTAAATTTGATCACTCCAGGCTGCCTCTTATCCTGGTTTTTGGCTCAGAGCCCAGAAGGGAGTTTCCTTCAATAATTCTCTCTGAGCTTAGGATGTCTGCCTTTTCCTAAAAGTCAACAAGTAACTACAGAACTGTGAATGCTTAGTTTCCAGACAGAGCAAAAATCCTGTTCCCCACCTAGAGGTCTGCGCAGATCCCATCTGTGGTCCAATCCCTGGGGCTGGAGGAGCCTGCTTTCCAAGTGATTTATTGTGGGTTCTTGGCTTCTTTCTTAGGCATCCCCTGGCTGTTTCAGAGAAGTGCTCTTCTGTTGGAAAGTGGAGCACAGTGAACAAGACTCAGAACAATGTGCTTCTTGCTTCCTTCTCCTGAGACAGCTCACCACTCCCCTGTTTACACCCGGCATTCCAGCCACACCAAATGACTTGGAGTTCCACAGATGTGGCCCTGACTTTGCACATGCTGTTCCCTGTGCTTGGAACAGTTCCCCTCTCTGCTTGGCTAGCTCCCATTCCCTCATCACATTCAAGCCAGGCTCACCTTCTCCAGAAAATTGTCCTTGTCCTCTCTCCAGCATTCCTGCCTTCAAGCCCTCGTGGCTTCCACAGCCACCTGAGTCGACCAGGGCCATGATTATCACATTGTGTGTGTTTCCTGTTTCTGTTTACTTGTCTATTTTTTCCATTAGTCCAAGTGGCTTCAAAATTCAACTATGTGGGCTGGGGCTGTAGCTCAGTGGCAAAGCGCTTGCCTAGCACTGTGAGGCACTGGGTTCAATCCTTAGCAGCACATAAAGTTAAACAAATAAAATAAAGGCATGCTGTCCATATCCAACTACAAAAAACAAAAACAAAAAAATAAATAAAAGTAAGAAAAAGCCGGGCGCAGTTTGTACGTGCCTGCTCAGCAGCTCAGGAGGCTGAGGCAGGAGGATCCTGTGTTCAAAGCCAGCTTCAGCAAAAGCGAGGCTCTAAGCAACTCAGTGAAACCTTGTCTCTAAATAAAACACAAAATAGGGGAATGTGGTTGAGTGGTCAAGGGCCATGGAGTTCAATCCCTGGTAGGCCCCACAAAAAAAGAAAAAAATAAAAAAAGAAAGAAAAATTCGACTACCTGAGAGTCACACTTGATGTCATCCCTCCCATTCACTTATTGGACCCCAGAATGAGGCTGGGGAGTTTGTATTGTTATTTGGCTTAATCATGAGACATGGTCAGGTCTGGGAACTGCGGCCTTATCTTTTTGTTTTGGGAGTGCTGGGGGGGGGGGGGTGGGACCCAGGGCCTCGAGCATGCTAGGTGAGCACTCTACACTGAACTAGTCTCCAGCCCCCGACATTTTCATTTCTGTCTCCCTGTATATTTCTTTCTGGCAACCTCTCTCGTTTTCACTTCTCTCCCTCTCTCGCCTAGACCAACAATTTGCTTATGCCCTTGCCATTACCATGCAAAACCTTAACCACCAACTGTTTAGTTTTTCCATTCCCATTGCCAGGCTGCTGGTGGGCTGCCCCAAAGATTATGCTACTGCAATTCATGGATTCTGAGCGCACCAGGCGCTCAATGTGCTTGGTGGTCCTTCTGACCCCGGACAACTCCTGCCTCTCACCACAGGCAGAACAGCTTGCCACCTCCTTCGCAGAGAAAACAGAAGCCATCAGATGGGACTCCCTTGACTTCCTGCCGCCTCCCTACACTCGCACTCCCGTCAGCGTTATTCCTTTCTTCTCCTTCACTCCAACCAGGGTCTGCACCCTCTCCTCCCATTTGCCCAGTGACCTTACCCTCAGTCGTCCCCGTTTCTCTCTGACCTCTCCCTCTGGACTCTGGGCTGTCTGGCCCCTCATTTTTGCCACCTTTTCCTATTAAGGTCTTGAAGGTGTTCTAGGTTGGTCCCATATTTCCACCTTCCACTCATTCTCCCACCCATGACCCCTGAGGTGGCTGAGCTTAAGGTAAGGTCACACAGCCTTCCTGGTAAAATCCAGAGGCCTTCTCCGTCTCTTCTCACTGAATTGCTTGGGTGCACCAGATACTACTGTTGGCAGCTTTCTTGAAAATTTTCCCTCTGGTTTCTGTGATGCCACATTCCTTGCTCTCTCTCTGGGACTTTTTGCCTGTTGATTTTCGGAATCCTGCTTCTCTGCCTTCCCTTGTGTATCAGCATTCCTGGGGAATCCCTCCTTACTGCAATTCTTTTCTCACTTCCCGGGCTTTCCCTCTGGGCAATTCCATCCACACCCTACATTTGGTTGGATAAACACCTCTGGGCTGGTGAGTCCCGAGTCTAACTTCAGCCCCATCCACTCTCCTATACTATAGACCATAGAGCTGACTACGGGACACCTCCTCCACCTGCTCCTCTCTCTGGACCCTAACCTTAGTGAATGGCATGACGAGACCCTCAGTTCCTATCACAAGAAACCTGGGTGTTCTGAGTTCTCCAAGTTCCATCAGCCACCAAGTCCTGTGTAGGACACTTTTGAGTAATTCTCAAATCAAATCCGTCCTCTTGTCTCCACATCTTTTTTTATGGCTGGGTCATCCCTCCCTGTATTTCTATGCCAGCGTCCAAGAGACCAGTCATCTGCCATTCCCTCCAACTCAGTTTTCTGAAGTGTAACCGGATTGGCATTCCCTTACCTCAAGCCCTTTGGTGGCTCCCCACTATCCTCTGGTGAAGTTCAAATTCCTTAGCAAAGTGCGTCAAGTCCTAGTCTTGGTCTCATCTCTTGCCCTTACACAGTGTGAATCCACCATGACAAAGCACCTGCAGCCTTACGAAAGTACAGTGCCCTCTGCTCACCCCCAGCCTCTGCACAATTCTGCTCACCCTGGGCCTCTGCACACTTCGCCCCATTTCCTGCACCTAGGACATCCTTGCCTCCCACTCCTGATTTTTCTTCAGGTCCCTGTCAAACCATGCTCCTTTTAGAAAGCCTTCTCTGATCTCTTGCTGAACTGGATTAGTTGCCCTTGCTATGGGATTTCATAGCATCTCATGCTTCCCCTGATCAGAAAAGTTTTTATACTTAAAATTACCTTTTTTTCTTAGTGTTTATGTAAACATGTCTTTTTTTTTTTTTTGGTAATGGGGATTGAACCCAGGAGTGCTCTACCACTGAGCTATCTCCCCAGCTCTTTTTATCTATCATTTATCTTTCTATCTATCATCTATTTATTTATTTGAGGTGCTGGCCAGGGCCTAATGCATGCCAGGTAAAGTCTCTACCACTGAGCCACATTCTCAGCCTCTCTATTTTTAATTTTGAGACAGGATCTTGCTAAGTTACCCAGGCTGACCTGGAACTTGTGATCCTCCTGTCTCAACTTTGTGAGTCACTGGAATTATAGGGATGTGCTACCACACCTGGCTTGGGTCTTGTTTTATATCATATTCTCAGCATCTGGCATATGCTAGACACATAGTAAGTGCTCAATAATATCTGCTAAAAGAGTAAAAGACAGGGACTGGAGCTGTAGCTCAGTGGTGGGGCGCTTGCCTGGCATGTGCATGTGTGAGGCACTGGGTTCGATTCTTAGCACCGCATAAAAATAAAATAAAGGCATGCTGTCCATCTGTAACTTAAAAAAAAAAAAGAAAGAAAGTAAAAGACATCTGAAAAGTTACACTCCCCTCTCTTTCTTGGGGTAATAAATTGCATGTTGTTACATTACCTGCTCTAGACAGCTTATAATAAGGAAATAGGTTAATTTGGGAAAACAAGTCCTCCCAGGGAAACTTGACAGACTGGAGAAATTAAAGCATCTGAGAGGTGGAGACTAGCTTGTGGATGCTGACACATGGCACTAACCCCAGGCCTATGTGCAGGAACCCATGAGGGCAGGGAGCCACAGCATCCTCTGCCTTGGCTCATCACATGACGGTCATGTGAAGCATGGCTGCTCTGGAACAGTCTCCATTCGTCCCACAGCTTCCACCTGTCAGTGTAGTAGTAGCATTACAGAAGGCTGCCCCTGGGTTATGGTCTTCCCTCTGCCCACTAATTATCTGAATTGCCTCAGGCAATACTCCATTATGGATTTTGTACTGGAAATGGTAGTTTAAAAAATAGGGTAAATGCTCATATGTCATCTATTACTTCTTTAACAAATACCTATTATAAGGCTGGGGGTAGAAGTCAGCACAGTAGAGTACTCCTCCAGCATGCATGGGGCCCTAGGTTCTATCCCTAGCACTGAAAAACAAACAAAAATGCTTTTATAGAGCTAGGGTTGTGGCTCAGTGGTAGAGCGCTTGCCTACATGCATGGGGCACTGGATTTGATTCTCAGCACCACATGAAAATATTGTGTCCACCTAAAAACTAAAAGATAAATATTTTTTTAAAAAACCCTGTTATATACCTACTATGTGCCAGATACTGTTCCAGGTACTGGGATCTGGCAGTGAATGAACTGGATCAGGTTGCAACTTCCTGTCTGTAAGCAAGGGGGTGAACCAGATAATCTCTCCCAGCTTAAATGTTCTGAGACCCCACTTTGATCAGATACAAACTTATGCATGGAAGGGCTAATGGTAAAATAGCAGGCTCCAGTCTCCCTCCCCCTTCTCCCTTGGTGATATCTCCCTCCCAAACTCAACTTTGGGAAAACAGAAAAAGGTTTGGCATCGTTTATGTTTGCCTGCAACCAAAGATTTAACTCTCCCCAAGTATCTGTCATTTAATACTTTTGTCTCTTTTGTGGAATGAAAGGTTTTGTTTTGGTTAGAACTGCAGACAGTTACAAGGAGGCTTGGCAAGATATTTTAGGCAAAGGTAGGTGCATTGGTAAAGGACAAAGCACAGTATCTCTCAGATTTGCAGGAAAGGGCAGGTCACTCAGGTTCCTCCCTTCTGGGTGATAGGGATCTCCTGGTCCTATTTCCTTTCCTTTACAGAGGTAAAGGTCTTCAGCCTGAAGGTCCCGAGTCTCTACCACTTCAGTATCTGGTACACTAATTAGGAACAGAGGATTCAAGAGAAAGCCTTGGGTCCTCAGCCTGACTTATAGTTCCAGATGACCATCATTCCAGGTTAATGTCAGGTGTGGGATGGCACTACTGAATTTTTAGGTGGGTGCCGTGGCACACACCTGTAGTCCCAGCTACTTGGAGGCTGAGGCAGGAGGATCACTTAAGCCCAGTTCAGAGCCAGTCTGGACAACATGGTGAGACCCTTTATTGAACAAACCTGCCCTCTACAGAACTCTTGAACCTTAATGTTGACACTGGATAATTACATGTGATAATTAAATTTTCAATTTTTGACTATATAATAGAAAAGTAAATGAGTCAGTAAGTTTACTATTTGTGTCTCACTACTATGAGACAATAGTTACATGGAATTATGTCAGAGTGACATGAACAATTCCTTATCAACAGCAAACTCTGACTTCAGATCTTCAAGTATATGATGAAACAGAGGGTAGATGATTCAAAAGACACAGCTCCTTTGCTTATTAGCTGTAATACTATATTGATATCTTCTCGGTGCAGATTTCAACTATTAAGATACTTGCCTCATTTGTTACAGGATTGATGTGAGACTCCAGACAACATATGTGAAAATGCTCTGGAACTGCCAACTGTTCTATGCACAGAAGGCACTGTTACCATCAGCCTCCCAAGGCTGGCTGGCTGTGCAGTCCTTGTTGCTGGCCACCATCTGACCTCTTGCCCTGTCTTGCTCACTCAGGTATCCCTAGGAGAACAGCCTCCCCAGCACCTAACAATATTCCCCCCCCCCCCCACTGAACCTTAAGAGGTTATGTGGAAAGTAACATGTGGATATGTGGAAAGCTAATTCTTGTCTGCTCCATCACGCTTGAGAGCCCTTCTCATCAAGCACTGGAAGGAAGAAGGGAGGGTAGTGACAAGGCTTATTTTCTCCAGGTAGTTCATTCATTTTACCAATGAATAAGGTTTTAGAATTTTTCTTTGTACAAATGTTCTGAGTTGGGTTCAGTGATACAGCATGATGCTTCTCAAAGAATCTCAGCTTCACAGTTTGGCATACTTGAGTCCACATCTGGACGTGGCCAACTTTGGCTGTGCAGCCTTATTCTGAACTTGAAGTTCCTCTTCTATATGAGGGGGTACTAGATAGCTTGAAGCATTACTGAAAGGATTATAATTATTGTCTGAGTGACTGGCATCTAAGTGCACAGAAGACAACAGATGAGCCACATGGCCCATCTTTGAGTTCAAAGCATCATAGAGTTGTGGGTGATGGGACATAAAGATCAAGAGAAGGTACACAGAGGGAGGTACCGTATTCAAAAAATAGTGAGGGTCTTGTTCTTGGCGGGACTCGCGAAGGACCTGAATGATCCAGGTGAACATTGAAAGCATTTCAGTTCAACTTTAAGATCTCCATCTCTTTTTTGGACCAGGGATTGAAGCCAGGGGTATTTAACCACTGAGGCAAATCCCCAAGTCAAATCACTCTTTATATTTTGAGAACAGGGTCTTGCTAAGTTGCTGAGGCTGGCTTTGAACTTGCCATCCTCCTGCCTAGGCCTCCTGAGCTGCTAGGATTACAGGCGTGTTCCACTGCGCCCTGTAGATCTCCTTAATTGTTAAGGTCATACAAAGAAATATCCATCTTAGGAGACATTCTGTAAAAAACTCAAAATACTGCTGGGTTTGGTGGCACATGCCTGTAATCCCAGCAACCTGTGGGCTGAGGCAGGAGGATCACAAGTTGATTCGAAACTTAGTCAGACCCCAAGCAACTTAGTGAGATTCTGTCTCAAAAAAAAAAAGGCTTGGGATGTAGCTCAGTGTTAAAACACCCCTGGGTTTAATCCTTAGTACCAAAAAAAAAAAAAAAAAAAAAAAAAAAAAAAAGTTCAAATACCAAAGTATAAAGATTGGATGATGCAGAGTCTGTCTGGCATAGCTACACAAATGAAATAAGAAATAGAAATAGTGATTACTTCCCAGTTGTCAATGAAGTTGTGATTTAAAGGTTTATTACAGTGCAAGTTAGTTTTTAGTTTGTCCCTAGTTATCAGCAAGATGACTGGTGCTAAGAGTACTGCAGGGAAACAACTGGTTTTATACATGTGTCTTGTTTTGGTTGAGTAAGGTAAAAAGGAGAGCTTGTGGACTGCTCCTTGTGGTTCTCTGATTTGCTTTAGAGTCAAGATTAGTGAGCGGAACTATCAAGCAACTCTGATTTATCCCAGGTTCCTGTATTTCTTCTGCCTGAGTTATGTGACCATGAGTAGGTCTTCATCTTCACTGGGCTTAGACTTTACCAACTGAATGAAGTCACCACCTCCCCATCAGGTAGCATGTATTAAACAAAATTTTGAACTCCTGAGATTAAGGTTAATTGCTCTTGGGATTATATTTATTTATAATTAAGCAACTCTAAGAAGATCAGGTCTAAGTTGTTAATGAGGAGAAAAGCAAATGCTAAGGCAAAATATGTATACATTGTAATAATAAATGATTCCCTTAATTGTGCAGTGTAGACACTGGGATCCTAAAAAACCCAAAAAACATTCCCAATCATTCTTCATGTTAGAACAAAAAAACAAAACAAAACAAAACTCCACTTCTTAGCCTTCCAGGTTTTCCTCTATCATGGTACAAAAACCTACTCAGATACTGATAAGATAAATTCAGACCCTTCTGCAAAGACAAATATCTCTGAAGCAAAGCAAATCTACCATTTGCTTAGGAGAAATGGTTTTTAGATTCTTGTAAAAAGTAATTTGACCTCTTTTCCCTATCCCAAATCCCTTAGACTTTGAAAGGATAAAACACCAATCTGGAGCTCTTTCAAAGGATTTGCTACAGAATTGCTTGAATCTACCAATGAGCTGAATGGAGGATTTCTGTGTCTAAAAGGATTTTGCTCACTGTTTTATTTTTTACAAGTGTTGCAATATTCAAAAAACACAATTTTTTTTTGTTTTTGCCAGTATGTCTAGAAAGGGTTACAAAGAAGTAGGATCTATCTACTCAGATGTCTAAAATAGGAAAAAGAAAAAAAAATTAAAAATTCCTTATATGGATAGGTCCTGAGTTGAAATCACATTCATCTGTGAAAAGAAATGTTTAGGTCAGAAAGGTCTAACTATAGATCCTCACCTTGAACTTCACTGGTGAAAATTTCCAGGCACTATATGACAGACAGAACGCATGCCATGTAGTTGGCTAATTCTGGCACATATCCTACTTGGCTTGTGAAAATTTTATAAATATCTTTTAAACCTAAACCTTCTGGTTCTCTGAAACTGATTGTCTTAATCCGATTCCCAATACTTTTTTAAACAAATAAACGTTTTCCCTGCAAGATCACATATTTAAGTATTTGTTGGCCATGGATAGATACAGGGAAACCAAGTATGGATGGGAATTAGCAGTTTGGTGATACAGCTGTGAATCTGAGCGGCTGCATAAGTTGTCTCTGTGGCTCTGCTCTGGCTGTGCTCCTCCAGCACATCACTGCAACATCAACCTGAAGAGGGTGTGAACCCCAGCAGCTGCTCGATGGGTTTGAACCGCCACTCATCAGCCTCCAGCTCTTCTACTAAACCAGCCAGTTTTTCCATCCGAGCAACTTGCTGATCTGTAAAGAGTGAAGGAAATATTACTATACAACAGTGCACTTTCCATGACACTGTCACTAATCACCAACATGATGACTGGTTTAAAAATAATTTCTAGTTGGATTTTCCCCCTCAATGTTTCAGTAGTAATGGGGTCTCTTTATGTTGATCAGAAAACTTTTCTTTTTGGTACTGGGGATTGAACCCAGGGGTGGTTTACCACTGAGATCCATCCCCAGGTTCTTTTGTTTATTTTTTTAAATTCTGAGGCAGGCTCTCAATAAGTTGCTGAGGCTGGACTCAAACTTGTGATGATCATGCCTCCGCCTCCCAAGTGGCTAGGATTAAAGGGTGTACCACCAAGAAAACTTTAATCTTAAAAAATAGAAAAAAAAACCAAGCAACTCAGTGAGACCCTGTCTCTAAATAAAAAAAATACAAAATAGGGCTGGGGATGTAGCTCAGTGGCATTTTTTTCTTCTTGTAGATGTTATGCTAAGGATCATACACTCTCACCTCGCTTCTTCATTCCACACCATAAGCAGCCTCAGTGACCAAGTTACTTATTCTAAAAAGTTTTTTTTTTTTTTAAATAATGTTAAAAGTTATTTTTCAATACAATTGTCACAGGCCTGGAGATAGAGCTCAGTGGTAGAGTGCTGGCCTAACATGTCCTTGTGCCTGTGCCAGTGCCAGTGCCAGGTCCTGAGTTCTAGCCCTAGTACTATGAAAAACAAAACAAAACAAAAAAAATCCCCTCAAAACCAATCATCACATTTTCAGTATGTGCTCTTGTTTTGCAGTACTGGGGAAGAACCTAGGGGTGTTTTTACCATTGAGCTATACATATATTATCCCCAGACTTTTTTTTTTTTTTTTTCAAAATATTTATTTATTCATGTATCTTTAATTTTAGGAGGACACATTATTTTGTTTTTATGTGGTGCTGAGGATTGAACCCAGTGTCTCATGCATGCTAGGCGAGCACGCTACCATTGAGCCATAACCCTAGCCCTCCCCAGACCTTTTTGCTTTTACTTTTTTGAGTAAGGTTCATGCTAAGTTGCTGAGGCTGGCTTCAATCCTGTGATCCTCCTGTCTCAGTTTCTCAAGGAGCTGGGATTATCGGCAAGTGCCACTATGCTCAGCTGTGCCCTGTTCTTTGCTGTTTTGTGGTGCTAGGGATTGAACCCAAGACCTCATTCATGCTAGGTGAGTGCTCTGCCACTGAACTATATCCCTAACCCTGTTTTTTCTTTTCTTTTTTTTTTTTTTGTGGAACTAGGGATTGCACCTGGGTATGCTTTAATACTCAATTACATCTCAGTTCTTTTTATTTTTTAAATTTCAGCCAGGGTCTGCTAAGTTTTGCCAAGGCTGGCCTGAAACTTCTGATCCTTTTGCCTTCGCCTCCTAAATAGCTGGGAATACAGGTACAGTGCTCTGCCTTGCTCTATTCTTTAAAAAAAAAAAAAGGTACTCATCCTCTATGCCATAGTGATTCAGTTCTGGAGGGAGGGACAACTATGGCTTTCTCCCCTATGTAATGCTTTCCATGGAGAAATGGTCTGGTGGGGGAACAGTCCTTGATGTATAATGAAGGCTTAGTGAGGCATGACGGGGCAGAAATCATACTATACGGGTATCAGAGTCCAGGTAGACCATGAGGTACACATAAATGCTTGAAGTTGAAGAGGGTAACCGTGGAGGACAACAGTAAAAGGTTTCAGAAAGGAAAGGGAAAGGCAACACAAGAGCAGCAGGAAGCACTGACTTCCCTAGAGAACCAACCCCTCTGACTTCAACTTCAAGTTTCAATGGGACATTCTGTCTGACAACTAAGACCTTGAAATGTTCTTTCATTTAGAAAGTCCACTTAAATAATTTTTTCTGAGTTTGGGAGTTTTGTTACAGCATACTGACTTTTAAGAATCTGCCTCCCTCACCCTCCGTAAATTTATTCTCACAGTCAAATACATGATACTCACGTGCTTACCATGTTTCACCTGTTTGAGCGTGGATGCCACTTGATAACTGAAAACAGATTCACAAAGGAATCTCTCAGAGCCATCTACAAATAAAAGAGGAAATGGTTTTAGTCTGCTCTAAGGGTTTTATGGCTTTTGATGAACCAAGTAAACCTGTACATTCTTTTCTCTGCTTTTACATTCGAGGTCTAGTTTTCAGGGTTAACAAAGAGGATTTGTGTTTCATTTAGAACTAACATGCTCTGTTATAAAAGCTACTTCTTCTATACCTAGGATGCTAAAATAGTCCCTCTACTTGTTTAAGAGTTTAAAAATAGTATTTAAAAAAACAAAAACAAGAAACCTCAGTGTGATGTCCTAGTCGACATTTCCCTCCTCCCAACCTGAAAGTTTCTTAATGTTCTCTTCTGTACACCAGGCAAACACTGCAGCTGACACATTTGGCCGTGTGGCACCTGTGCTATCAAAATACAAAGTTTCACCCAAACTCCAAAACATTTTCATTCTAAAAAACAAAAGCGGAGGGAAAAATCTTTGTTGATTTTTAATATATCAAATTACATCAAAACACTGCTGGGAATTTTCATTCTGTAAACACAAATTGTAACCTTGATTTTCCAACTGAACAAGAACACTGTAATTTGGATGACGATAAGAGTGTGGTGCAAGTTCAGAACCTAGAACTGTACTGCTGCCAAGAACTGCCAATGAGGAGGTGGCTAACTTGGTCACCACAGTACTTGGAAGATGATTGGGAAACATTGGTAGTTCATGATATTCCTTGTGGCAAAGGCTGCTACAGCAAAACATATCCCCAAAGATATATATTTCACGTAGGAAAAGTAGATTTTTTAAAGGGCAGTGGACACCACTTGGGGTATATATCTTCTTGCAAAAATTGTAAAAAAATTGGAAAGAGAGGGCACTGCTGTCTTTTTCAATGCAGCAGTACTTGCCAGCACTACTAGATGTCAACCATTCACCCATCAATCACGAACTGGTTGTGCAGGTCAGGTATTAAGTGACAAGGAGAGAGGACGAACATATTCTAGCCTTATGCTGAGTATCACACAGGCAAACCTTTGCAGAAGTCATGGTATCAAGGAGAAAAACTACAGATATTGTCTCCATATAGCATGAACACACAACTAGGAGGGCTTTCTTCCAATGCTATTTTCAAACTGATGCCAAAAAAAAGAAAGAAATGAGAGTATAATTCTTAGGATGTACACTATCTTCAGAGTTACATTCTGCAAATTCACATATTGTTTAATATATAGGATACAATTCCTTCCCCTCCCTCTGCACGTCTCTGGCTGAATGTAAATCATTTGTGAGTACATTGCCTAAATTAAACCGAGCAATTTTTTTTTCATTTTAATTTAATATTATGATGAATATCCTTATTTATTTATTTATCCTTATTTTTTGGTGCTGGGGATTCATGCTTACTAAGCAGATGTTCTACCACAGAGCTACACTCCTGCCCTGGACTATCCAGTTTAAAGATCTAGGCATGCTGACGACATCACTGAGTTGATTTTTTTTCTTCTTCTCCTGAAGATAAGAGCACTTGGCGGCACATACAGTGCCTAACTACGAATTCCACTATGGGAAGAGGAACTGTTGTGAACATTTGATATCAATGATGCAATTTGTTTTTAAAATTTTATTTTGTAGGGGCTGGGATTGTGGCTCAGTGGTAGAGCACTCGCCTAGCATGGGCGGGACCTGGGTTCGATTCTCAGCACCACATAAAAAAAAAATAAAGGCATTGTGTTGTATCCATCTACAAAAAAGATTCTCTCTCCTTTAAAATTTTTTTTTTTTTTTTGTAGTTGTAGATGGACAGAATGCCTTTGTCTATTTTTATGTGGTGCTGAGGATTGAACCCAGTGCCTCATACATGCTAGGCAAGTGCCCTTCTGTGGAGCTCTAGCCCCAGCCCTGCAATTTGTTTTTTTAAAAATAATTAATATTTTCTTTTTCTTCTGTGCCACCCCCCCCCCCCCAGTGGTATTGGAGATTGAACCAGGGGTGCTCTACACCAAGCTATATCCCTAGCCATAGCACTTTTAAAATTTCGAGACAGGGTCTTGCTAAATTGCACAGGCTGGCTTAGGAACTTGCAGTCCTCCAGCCTCAGCTTCCCAAGTCACTGGGATTACAGGTATGTACCAGTTACCAGTACACCCGGGTTCAAGTTTTATTTTAAAAAGAGCAAAGAAAGTAGAGCTTATTTCCCAGGTGATTTGATCTTGAACTTTAGGGTCTCTCACAAGGTAGTGGGAATTACCAGGTGTAAGAATCAAGCCAGCATGTGTATAGAAGCTCCTGGAAGTGCTACCTCCCACTTGTATTTAATCATGGATGTTATTAGGATAAAATGCTTATGTTATAACATTTGCATATTTTCCTTGGTAATAAATTTCAAAGCAAAAAGATATAAGCTTATCTTTCAAAATGGTACTTACATATCACTCTGCCATATTACATGCCTATGAAATACACTTTTGTTGATCTGCAGCTCTATATTAACCAAAGTCCACTGCTTCTTAGCCATATCCCATTAAATGTGCTATCTGTACCAATCTAAAGCTTGGAATTTCTCCAGAGAGGAGTCAGCCTGGGGCAATCTGTCTTCCATTTAGAAACTGTAATCAAATCCTTTGTAAAACACCAAGTAGCAAATACATCTGCTTTTCTCTTCATGGACAAGCAGAGGTTATAAATAGTGAGAAGTTCTGTAAATTACCCAAGTCTAATACTATATCACTAATTCCAATAAATATGATGCTAACAAATTCATTTAAAAGAATATTACCTCACCAGAAGGAGATTAGACAATGCTAGGTAGTTTATATTTCAGTGGCCAATAAAGTCACTAAAATACAGCCACTTCTGGACCGGAAGGCAGTCTTTAATTTGTTCACTAATAACTGGGTTAGGATAATATTAGCCATCCTGTTCATGCAGGGTGTATGTTATCAGAGAGCTGATGCTCCCAAAAAAGTTAATTTTCAAGGTTAACTACAGGTTATTTGAATTTATTATTATAGACTTGGGGGAATGAAATGGCAAACTGAACTTAAGATTGTGAACAGTGGGCTGGAGTTATGGCTCAGTGGTAGAGCGCTTGCTTGGCATGCCTGAGGCCCTGGGTTTGAGCCTCGGCACCGCATATAAATAAATAAATAAAATAAAATAAAATAAAGGATCCATTGACAACTAAAAAATATTTTTAAAAAATTATAAACAGCATCTGACCTCATCTCCTAACTACTTTTGTTCCTTACTCTCTACAGGCAATCTTTACTATTTTATTTTTCTACAATTTTAAGAAGAATGGTTTCCTGCATGAATGTTAGATTAACTGCAAAATAATATCATCTATAAACATGATAGAAATGCTTCAAAATCTAACATGCTAACCAGTCCACACTTAGAAGTACTATACTGGAAGATGTACAAATGTTATATGTACATAGCTTACATTTTATGTAAGAGACTCAAGTATCTGCTATTTTAGAATCCACAGTGGTGGGGTGTATTAAGTGGGAGGTAGGGAGGAGGTGTGTTGTGGTCGTGGGAGTGGGGTGCCAGTGGTCCTTGAACAAATCTCCTGTGGATTCTGAGGGATGAATGTACTCTTTAATTTACTATGCTTGAATTGGCCCAGATAGTTTAGGGATTGCCCTTTGGTTTTTTGATTTTTTTGTACCAGGAATTGAACCCAGGGGTGCTTAACCACTGAGCAATATCCCCAACCCTTTTAAAAACTTTTTGAGACAGGTTTGTTAAGTTGCTTAGGGCCTTGCTAAGTTGCTGGGGCTGGTTTTGACTTGTGATCTTCTTGCCTCAGCCTTCCCAGGCAATGGGATTACAAGCATGCACCACTGTGCCTGGTTCTGATATTTAAGTCTGTTTTAAAATGTAAACAGCTTTAAGATTAGTGGTGTAATGTAAAAGCTAAGAAGAACCACAACTGCATTGTGAGTTTAGACTAAATTAAAAGAACCCAACACAAGCTGGGCATGGTGGCACATACCTATAATTCCAGCAACTCAGGAGGCTGAAATAGGATTGCAAGTTTGAGGCCAGCCTCAGTAACTAAGTGAGGTCCCAAACAACTTAGTGAGACCCTCCGTGTCTTCGAAGTACAAAACAAAAGTGCTGGGGATGTAGCCGCTCACTGGTCAAGCCTCTGAGTTCAATCCCCTTAATCCAAAACAAACAAACAAACAAACAAACATACAAAGAAAGAAAACAAAACCCAACATATTCCTCTACAAAGCAGTAAGAATGGATAGATCTATAACTTGTTAAAATAACATTCAGACTAAGCTCAGCAGCTTTTCTTCTTTAATGTTTCTACATAATCTGGTGCATGCTGATAGCTTTGAAACTATGGAGCTATCTCCTGTATTAAAATTCCTCTTGTAGGTAGAATTTAAATGACTTTAAGATGATCTTAAGAGTGCTATTTTTAAGCACTGATTTATCTTCTACTGTTATAAAACTGATTAAGCAACTTAAGAGCCTTCAACTTTTTGTTTTGTGAGAAATTCCCTGAATACCACATCTCAGGCCCCAATTATTTTCTGCCTCCAGACTGGTGATACTACATTAAGTATTTCTTTTTGTGGTGGTACTGAGGATTAAATCCAGGGCCTTGCATATGCTAAGCCAGCCCTCTACCACTTAGTCACATCCCCAGCTCTTCCTATTTCATTTGAGATGGAGTCTTGCTAAGTTGTTCAGGCTGACCTTGAACTTGTGATCCTCCTGCTTCAGCCCCTGAGTAGCAAGGATTACAGGTGCTCAGGTCCTAACATAACACAAATGAAGATGATGAAAAGGCAAGAGCCTAAGTACACACACACCTCACCATACGCATGGCCTGGTCAGGTCACTTATTTCACTACTGATCAGAACCTCAACAAGTCTAGATAGCCTAATGCTCCTGGAGTCTTCCATATTTTCCTGTCATAAATGATTCTTCTGTTTGCTCTGACTTGCTAGGGATGTAGCTCAGCAGTAGAGTGCCTTCCTGGCATGTGCAAAGCCTCTTCCCCAGCACCATAAAAAAACAAAGAATCAGCTATAGTGTTTGGCCTGGTTTAATCCAAAACTTTGCTTTTTATCTCTTCTGATATAAAAGAATAAAGAACCCCCTTCAAACTGGCTCCTGACTATAGTTTGTTTCAGAGACATTCCAAGGTTAACTTAAAATACATTTATATAAATATGCAAGATTTAGAGCAAAAAAGATCAACATATAATTAAGCACCAAATTGCTTGACTCAAGTAGATTTTGAGTCCTTAGTAGGTTCTTTGCCAATGTTTCTAAAAATATGGTGAGAAGATTACCTTCAAGGAAAGGCTCTAAATGTTGGTCAAAAATATGCTAAACTAATTCTGAATCTCTAAAGTTGGCCTAGCAAAGTGCATTTTAAATAAGCTCCATGGGTGAATTTTAAATTCCCTATGAAGAATTATTAGTCTTGATCCTAAAGTGACAGAAATCTCAAGAATTCCAGTTACCCATGCTGATTCATGCTCACTGTGTCCTTATCTTGACAAGCCAGTTTGCAAATGTGAGCTGAATAAGATGGAGGATGACTGCACGAAAATCTGTCTCTGGTTGTAGAAAAACTACACTGAAGTGTCCTGCAGTGGGACAGGGAAGCCATCTTCACCTAAGAGTAGTGTTATCAGTTTTTATTTTGTCTCAGAACCTCTCTGGTATGGCTAATCTATCTGTAGATCAATTACACTAGGAAAAAAAAAGTATACCTAACTTACTAACAATAGGGAAGAGGACAGGGGCCAAGATAAAGCAAACTGGAGCCAGAGATTGAGAATTCCTGGCTTCCCTGCTGACTCTGCCTCTAACAGGACCAAATCATTTAATGGTTTTGGACCTAAAGAACTCTAGATGACCTCCCTGCTTTCCAAAGTCCTTTTCAGCATCAAATTCTGATTCTGAAACAAGATTTGTGTTGGAAGATATTACTTTGGGATGTGGACAAGAGATGAAATGTGGAGCTGAAATCAGGGCAAATTCATTTCTAAGTCACTTAATAGCTTCTTTCCAATTAATATTCATTGCAGGTCTGAATCCAGTTATTCAGCAAAAAGCAGCATGAGATCACCTTCTAACACCTCTCCAGCTCCTTTGGGGTAGGTGAAAAGGGTTTTCCGTGGTGGGGCAAGGTCTGAGACACTGAAACCTGATGCAGTAACAGAACTTCCACTGACCCCACCAGCTGAAGAGGAGGATGAAGAGGCTGCCATTTCCTCTAGTAGAATTTTCACTTCACTGAAGAGAAAGAAAAACAGCAATTGGCAAGTTTATGGATGTGAGACTGACAACATTTCACTCTAACTGCCACAAGGACCAGCATATAATTTTGTAAAGAATTAGCTCTCCTTTTCTTCTATCCTCTTTACTTCCAACAACCTTTTATTGAAACCTCAGACCAAAATGTCATGCAGGTTTTGAAGTAAAAATATGCTTAAGAATAGTCTGTCTACTAAAACAATTACTTTCTATCATTAGCAAACTGTTTATGTCATTTGAGATTGACTGAAGGTAATTTATAAATTAAGAAGGGGTAGTATGGCAGTGCCAAGGCAAAAATGTGACTGAGCAAATAAATTATGAGGTTAAAATAATCATCTTCCATAGGACAGTTTGTCTTGGATACATCCTGACCAAGCCACACCAAGAAATTCACTCATAAAATTTTCCAAATAAGATTCCAGAATAACACTGTGTTCTGTTCCCAGGGAAGGGAAATTGGTTAGGAAATACACATTGGCACTTTCATCAAAATTAAAAAAAAAAAAAAAAATCTTTTAATCCAAATGTAATACCTGAATTTATCACTTGGTGGCGTCCCAAAACTGGAACAAAATAGCTCAGAAAATGATCCTGGAAATCCTGGCCCTTATGACCATAGCAGCTGTGCATTTTAATCCTATGTCTCATCAGAAAATTCAAATGAAGCCAGGTGTGGTGACACACACCTGTGATCCTAGCTAGTCAGAAGGCTGATCCCAAGTTCAAGGCCAGCATGGGCAACCTGGCAAGACCATGTCTCAAAATAAAATAAAACGGGTTGGGGGTGACTAAAGTACTCTCTGGGCATGTGTGAAGTCCTGAGTTCAATCCCCAGCTTCCACTCCCCCTCCGTCCAAATGTAAATGGGGTACTTTGTACTGAATACATGGCTTCCTAAAAATGTTCAAAATGAGGGCGGGGGTTGTGGCTCAATGGTAGAGCACTTACTGGGTTCGATTCTCAGCACCACATATAAATAAATAAAAATAAAGGTCCATCGACAACTAGAATATAAAAACAACAAATATTCAAAACAAGAATTCTTTGCACAGAAGCTTGTGCCATTTTAACAAAGATTCTAAAGTGTATTCTTTCTATTTATTTATTTTGTGGTACTGGTGATTGACCTTAAAGTATATACTTTCTAAAAAAGATCTAGCACCATGCTAATAGAAATTTCTGCTGTAATGGAAATGTTCTAATGTTCTACTGCTGCACTGTTCTGTGTAATAGCCACTAGCCTCATGTTGTGGCTATAAATTAGCGTAGCTGAAAATTATATTTTCAATTTCATTCAATGTTAACTAAAATTTCAACATAGCCACAGGCTAGTGGCGTTCTAGTATTTAATTAAAAAATGATTTTAGCCAGGTGTGGTGGTATGTGCCTGTAGTCCCAGCTACTCTGAGACTAGGGAATTGAGAGTTTCAGGCCAGCCTGGAAGACCTTATGTAACAAGACCTTATTTCAAAAAAAGGGAAAAAAAAAAGAAGATTAATAACAAAATTAAAATAATGCGGGGGGAATCCTAGCTCAAAAATAAAAACAAACAACAAAAGAAAACAAAAAAACAACAAAAATTCATAAACAACTCGGCTATTGGTGGACTTTCTTTTTAAATGTTAATTTTTTAGTTACAGTTGGACACAATATCTTACATCCCGATGAGCCACAACCCCAGCCCAAATTTTTTTTTTTTTTTTTTTTGAGTAGTTGGGATTGAACCCAGGGCTTTACACATGCTAGGCAAGTATCTACCACTGAGTTACATCCTTAACCCTTTTTAAGATTTATTTTGTGACAGGCTCTTGCTAAGTTGCCCAGGCTGGTCTTGAACTTGCAATCTTCTTAATGCGACCTCCAGAGTAGCTAGGATTACAGGAATGCACCACAGTGCATGGCATGGTTAATGTGAACTTTACCCCAATTAAAAAAAAAAAAAAAAAGACTCAAAAAAGATTTAAAACATGAATTTTCCTATGCAATGGTCAGAGAGAATTTGAAAGCCAGGGGGAGGCAGCTCAGTAACAGATCAGTAATAAGACTGCTTGTCTAACATGTATAGGCCCTGAGTTCAAGCCGAAGTATGTGGGGGTGGGGGGGAGAATTTTAGTTGAATATTTTTCCATTGACTTTTTTTCTTACTAGTTATAAAAAGAATGGGATTGTAGCTCAGTGGTCAAGTGCATGTTTAGAAAGCTTGAAGCTCTTGGGTTCAAACCTCAGCACTTACAATAGAAAAAAAATCAGAGAATGCTATGTTGATATAAATCCAATCTGTATAAAACATCCAGCTTCCTAGTAAGCAATACAATATACTCTATATCTGATATATTGGCATTTTCCTTAATTTTATGATGATGATTTAAGGCTGTCAGAGAAGCAGAGCTTAGTTTCTAAGTATATGTCTATAATACTGATTCATGCTGCAGGAGAATATGAGAATAGTAAGGCTACTGCTATAATTAGACCGTCAGCCTATTAAAATGTAAACTGATTAATGATTTTTTACTTTTAATATTGTTACTAGATTACTTTTAATTTTTTTTCTGTGCTTTGATAATTTTTCACATTCACATCCATAAAGCCAACAACTTTCCAAGTTAGATACATATCCAATCCTTTGGACCATAATGGGTCAAAATATAGCTTAATGTTTTTAAATGCGTTTTGAAAAGAACTTAAGCAGTAATGGACCAGTCCAAATGTCTAAATGGATTCCTGGAGGGATTCAAATAAAGCATAAAGACAACTTAGACACCTTTTGGAGAGTAGCTTAGCTTTGTTTCCTATCTGTTCAGAGTAGAACCCACTGTGAACTGTTTATATATCTCACCTAAGATTTAAAATTGTAAATCTTTCTCCTCCCCTGATAAATGCTGTTCAGTTGAAAATCTTTATACTTTATATTTTGAGATCAGCTGCTCAGCAGAGCACCTAAGCAACTGCCAGAGTGAGGCCAGCTTCAAAAGCTAGACACAGTGTGACTTCTAAACTGAATATAATCAAAGGGACTTCCTCTTTATCCTTTTTTATTTCAGTTTCTTAGAACTCCTATCATTTCATACACAAGAGTGTCAGGGTTGAAAAATGAGGCATAGAATTAGCACAAGGCTAACTTTAAATAAGCAGTTTTCTGCTGAGGTGGAAAGATACACCTAAGCAATTTCTAGTTCTAAAGATATAGTTTGTGTGTGTGTGTGAGAGAGAGAGCTCTTGGTGCGTGCTGGAGATTGCAGGACCCCATGCATACTAGGCAAGTGTTCTACCACTGACATGCATCCCCAGTCCTAAGTAAAATTTTGTTTTTGGTGCTGGGGATGAACTTACAGACCTGCATATTCTAAACATATTTTCTACCACTGGGTTACATCCTCAGTTCGTAGGTTGTTTTGAAGGCCATCAGCAAGTCATAAATGGAAGTTAAACTAACAATAAACCCTGGATTATAACTGCTCTCTAAGGGCAGGCATTAACTAATCTGTCTGAATCAAGCATAATGTGTGGCCTAATAAGTGGTTGCTCATTTAAGTAAACATTTGGGGAATGAATTAAATATTTCACAGGAAACACAGATTCCTTAAAGGTCATCTAATCCAATTTCCTCTTTTTATAGCTGATACAATGAAGCACAGAGACATTGCAGCTTATCTGCTGTAACATTTTTGAAGCAACAGCTTTTTAATATATCATGTTTCATGTGGAAAGCAAACTTAGCATAGTGGTTAAAAATTGACCATGATGCCACTCTGTCTTTTTTTCTCTTTTGTAGTACTCGGGATTGAACTCAGGGCTTCATGCATGCTAGGCAAGCACTTTCTCACTGAGTTACATCCCAATCTCATGTCTTGGTTTTGCTAAGTACTTGCATGACTCTGAACAAATCACTTAATTTTTTTTTTTTTAATTTCTCAGTTGTTTCAGTAGTAGTGTGGAAAAATAATGGTATAGAGATGTTGAAATTAATAATATGTAAAGCAACTGGAATGGTTTCAGGCTTAGTAAACAAATAAATATTAGCTATCAAAAATTATTAATAGATATTTGCTCTTGAATCTTTTTTTTTTTTTTTTTTTTTGATACTGGGGATTGAACCCAGGGGCACTCAACCAATAAGCTACATCCCATCCTTTCTTATATTTTATTTAGAGACAGGGTCTTGCTAAATTTCTTAGGGCCTTGTTAAGTTGCTGAGACTGTCTTTGTAGTCTCAATTCTCCTGCCTCAGACTCCAGAGCTGCTGGGTTTCTACTCCTGGATCATTTTTTTTCCCTATTTAGTTACCAGTTGTTCATACTGTATATTATGTACCAACATATTTATGGGAAAAGTTTTATTTCTCTCCATCTGATATAGACACAGCTAGATCAGAAAGAGGAACAATGTCTTCTATTATGCATATGACATACTTCACTATTGAGTTACACCCCCAGTCTTTTCATTTTAAGATTCATGATCTTAGGAAGAAGTCTGTGATTTGGAAACGAGGTAAACTACTGTCTTTTTAACCTCAAGACCAGGTACAGAATCTCTATCATTGCGTTTTCTGGATGAATGATTTATAAATTACAGTAATGATTTACAAATTACAGAACAAGGGCCAGAAGTTCAGCAAACATTATGCAGGGGGCACAGAAGCTTGGTGTCATGAAAGCTGGCCCATTATGTTTTCTTTTTTTTTTTTTTCCTTTTTGTGCAGATATATTTACTCTATCTTCCATTATGCTGCCAGGCCCACAAAGGGTGTTCTGTAAGACTTTGCTGAATAAATTTTGATGACGAAGTATCCTGGGACTTGGCCCTATCCCGGAAGCTGGGGCTACTAGCAGTATAAATCCTCATAGGAAAGCAATGACATTTTGGGAGACACAGTACAGCATGATTAAACATTCACTTTTAAGTAAGACTAGGATGACCTCAAGTTCATAAACTACGTTTTCTTGCAGAAATATGCCTATTTTCTTAAAAAAGATCCTTCCTTAAAAAAAAAAAATCTCATCAATAGGTGAAAAAAGTTCCTGTTGTAATTCAAAGGCAAATTACGACAAACAATCGTCAGATTCATCAACAAAACGTTCTACTGTATTCCACTTAAAACAATTTGATTAGAATACAAACCAAATAAATGCTACAGCGACAGCTGGGTGGAGTGGAGAGAGAGGGGGTGGAAAGGGGAGGGGTCAGAACTTCTGCGGTTCCCAAGCTAACTCCAACCCAAGCTTCCCGTCCAGCTGAGTCCCAAAGAAGCAACGCCAAGCGACTGCCTCACTACGCAGGCGCCACTATTCGGGGCGCATGCGCATCTCGTTCTCGGCCTGGGAGAAATTTCCTTTTCCACGCCCGCTGTGGCAGTCTCCTGTCTCCTCCCATCTTCTCCATTTTTCTAGTCCGTGCAGGTAGGAACCAAGTTAACTCCCTTCCCCTCAAGCTCCCGAAGGCCCTTGAACCTTCGGCTACTTACCTCAGCGGCCTTAGCACTTTCCCTTCAACCCCGCCCCCCAGGCCAGCCAGAAAGGCCGCGCTCACAACGACGAGACGGCGGCGTGCTCGCGCCCACGCAGAGGGAACCCGCGCCGGCGTGCGCGCGGCCGCGCGGCAGTGGGCGTGGCCGGGGCGGAGAGAAGCCGAGAACAAGCTTCCTGAGATCACTTCCGGGTCTTTAACCCGAGCACTAATTTCTTCCTTCGGTTTGGCACACTTGTTCTTTTTGGTTTCTTTTCATGATTTTGGCCTTCAGCTCCCCCCAACGGTATTGCAGAAAGATCGTGTTTCCCTCTTCCTCTCCAAACCTCCATTTCCCCTCTTTCTTCTAAGCAGTTACGTAGCCCAAGGCTGTACAGGAAAGGTAGATGCCAAGTTTGCAGTCTCACCTGTCTCTTCCTCCAGAGCTCAGGGTCTGAGGGTCCGACCTCTGTGGAGAACTCATTTTGTGTGTGTGTGGTGTGGAGGAGAGTCCTAGGGGAATACAGAACTAGGGTGTACTATCAATGGACTATTGCTACTTATGTACCCTCCTCCTCCATCCAATTAGATTTACTTTATGTGTTATTTCTCAAGACAGAACCTCTGCTTGTCTCTGTAAACAGACTGCCAATTAAAGAGACTTGCTAAGGGTTGGGCTGAGCATTAGTGTGTTTAATAAGGATTATGAATATTCTTTGGAACTCTTGGAAGTATTTGGGGCTTCAAGACTATCCGAACTAAATGGCGGGGGCGGGGGGAGATCATCCAAGCTATATGTGATAGGGACACTGTTTGAACTTCACCATAGCTAGCTCATAAGGGACCTCTGTTTCTGAAATTATTATTATTTTTTTCTGGTGTTGGGCATGGAACCCATGGCCTCTGGCATGCTAGGCAAAGTAAATATTATACCACTAAATTATTCCCATCCCCTTCTAAATCATTGATTTATTAAGTGGTGACTAAAAGCTTGGCTTCTTGGTAGGCTATGTACCATTTGTTGGACAGTGGCCTATAGAAATTGGATTCCTTTCCTTAGCAATGTGTTGATCTGAGAAACACATTGGTCAAGCTTTTTTTTTTTTTTCTGTACTGGGGATTGAACCCAGGGACACTTTATAACTGAGCTACATCCCCAGTTCTTCTTTTTATTTTTTATTTTGGAAAAGGGTCTCCCTAAGTTGCTGAGGGTCTTGCTAAATTGCTGAGGCTGGCCTTTACTTGCTATTTTCTTGCCTCAGCCTCCCAAGTTTCTAGGATTGTAGGTATACACCACCCTGCCTGCTGGTTAAGTTATATTTTGACAAGCATAGTTATATATTTCTAGTACCTTAAAAGTTCTTAGCCCTTCCTCCATAGAGAAGTATGTTAAATATCCCTCATTCTCTTATTCACAATATTCAAATGATTAGATAAAAGTAAAAGGTTGTAATTTACTTAAAGTAATGAAGAGACCTCTGTCTCTCTTTCAAAGTCATGGGCACAGCTGGTTATGGTGATGCATACCTGTAATCTCATGAACTCAGGAGATAGAGGTTGGAGGATTGCAAGTTCTAGGCCGGCCAGGGCAACTTAGTGAGGCCCTATCTCAAAAATCAATCAAAGTCATGAGCAGGGTGTATTTAAAGGTCTTTTAATAACTTTTTTTGGGTGAGAGTACACACATCACCTTGCTGTCTAGAATGAGACATGAATGAAATGAAATAGCGTGGAAAATACAATTGACTTTTTGTTGGAGAAATCAAATGGAAATCAGTATTTCTTTTGCTTAGGATGTATTGTGAACTAATGCCCAATTATATCCTTTTAAGCCTATATAATGATCCATTAAATAGAGATAGGATTTTTATTTCTAAAAAAAAGATAAGATGGTAATTTATTTTTCAGGATTTCAATAGAATATTATTTGGAGAAGGTGTCATGGAAGTTCTGCGCCCACAGCTTGTAACAATTGATGGACGAAATTACAGGAAGAACCCTATCCAAGAGAAGACTTACCAACATGAGGAAGATGACGAAGATTTCTATCAAGGTAGTTATTCTTAAATCAGGTTAGAAGTAAAATGTATTGAGCTGTGGATGTTGCTCAGTGGTAGAGAGCTTGCCTACATGTGTGAAGCCCTGAGTTCCATCCCCAGCACCACAAAAAATAAGTTCAGGAACAAAGGTTTCTTGTGGGCTTGCTATGGTTAAGTTCAACTGGTGTTCCTACCATACGCATGCACGCACACATACACACACCAAAAAAAAAAGGAAAAAGGAAAAAAAATGCCTTCTCTCTTGTGGGAGCAATTCTTTTTTTTTTTTTTAATAATCTGTAGTTGGACACAATACCTTCAATTTTTTTTTTTTTTTTTTAATGTGGTGCTGAGGATCGAACCAAGGGCCTTGCATGAGCTAGGCGAGTGCTCCACCCCTGAGCCACAACCCAAGCCCATTGTAGGAGCAATCCTTAGTTTTGTTTCGCTGTATTTCTGTATTAGTACTAGAATTGGAGACATTTGGCTTCTCATAGTTCCATTTGCATGGATTCAAGAGTTTGTTCGAGGCATTCTTTTTTTAAATATTTATTTTTTATTTATTTTTATATTTTAATATTTATTTTCTTATTTTATTTTTATGTGGTACTGAGGATCGAACCCAGGGCCTTGCACGTGCTAGGCGAGCGCTCTACCGCTGAGCCACAACCCCAGCCCATGAGGCATTCTTGTTGTAGTTCATAGGTCATATTTAATCTTTGTACAGAGACTTAAATGTTACAAAGGATAATTATAGAAAATATTAATCACTAATATTCTGTGACAAAATTAAATTCCTTTTTCTGTGAAGTAATCCATATTATCAAAATAAAGGGACATACATAAAGGATTAGTCCAGTGACCAATAATGTTAGCTGTTAATATTTTATTATTTTTCTTTTTTGTAGCAACAGATTGGCCATTCTAAAGTTACAACTAAATTTATTTTAATATAGGTAGTTTTAAGAAATAAATGGTTTAGATGGGTTATAAATATTTTCAGGGTGTTTACCTTGGGCTTGGATTTAATGCATAAACAGGGCCTTTGCAAGTGCTTTGTGACTTTTCCCTTTTGGGTTATGAGCCTTTCCATTGGACCCTAAGTCTCAGGGTCAGTATGCTCTCTCATCCTCTCCATTGTCTCTTGTCATCCTTGAGGCCCTCATTTCCTTTATCCCTCCTCTTTTCCCTGTGTCTGGGCTGAATGGAGTAAGTTCTCCCAGTGTCTCATTCACTGAAGTAGTGTGTGTCTTAATACTAAAAGTCACTGAATTGTGTATTTATTTTGCAGTTCTGGTAATTGAACTCAGGTATGCTAGTCAAGTGCCCTACCATTGAGCTACATCCTCAGCCATTTTAATTTTATTTTGAGCCAGGGTCGTCTTAAGTTGCCAAGGGTGATCTCAAACTTGTGAGACCTCAGTCTCCCAAGTAGCTGGGATTATAGGCGTGTGCCACTGTGCTCAACTGAATTGTATACTTTAAAGAGTGAATCTTATGTGAATTATAAAAAATAGTACAAAAATTGATTATTGTGTCTGAGCTTTCTTTTTCTTTGTTTCTTTTTTTTTTTTTTGTGGTACTGGAAATCAAACCTAGGGCCTTGCACATGCTAGGCAAGCACTGTACCATTTAGCTATATTCCCAGCCCTTGTGTCTTAGCTTTTTAAGAGAAAATGGTTAAATACTGGTATATGTATAAGGTTCCAAGACTGACAGATATAAAATAGTCATTTATTAAAAAACATTTTCATTTCTTATAAGAGCAGGTCAGGAAGACCATCAGAGCAGTGTTCTGTGATGTAATGTGTTGGGATATTCTTAATGCCTGTGCTTTGTGTTTTTAAAATCCTGAGAGAGATTGACAGCTGGGGAGAAGCAGCAACAGCATTTCTGAAGAGTTGTTGTGGTTTCTCTGCAGATGCAATGGAGTATGCTGATGAGCCCTGTGATGCCTATGAGGTGGAGCAGACCCCGCAAGGATTCCGGTCTACCGTGAGTGCTCCCAGCCTGCTCTACAAGTGAGTGAATGAAGTCCCTAGCTGATCACAGGGTGGCATTTCCAGGAAACTCAGCAGGAAGCTGACTCTCATCTTCCACACTTAAAACCATGTTTGCTTAATGATAAAATAGTATTTTATGTCCTAAAACGTCAAAGGCCTGATTATAGATTAATCTTATCTACCATGTATATTGCCACTTCCTGTTGATTTTACCTCTTAAATATCCTTTGAATTTACCACTTATCATTGTCCTCATTGCTACCCTTTCTGCCTTTCCTGTGGATTTCTTAAAATAACCCATTTTGGTTTTTACACATTGGTTCTTACTCTTCCAAGTCAGTTTTTCACATTGAGGGTTGAATGATCATTTTTAAAAGACAGGATCATTTTACCACCTCTGCTTAAAATCCATCAGTGGTTTTCCATTGAAGATGGAATTAGAGTAGTGGCCAAAATCTTGAGCATGACTTAAGAGACTCTTATTTTTTTAGTCTTAGTTCATACCACTCTTTTCCTGTCTTTGGCTTATACCCATCTGGTTTTCTTCAGTTCTCCTTTCTACCTTAGAACTTTTGAATATGCTGTTTCTTTTGCCTTAGAAACTTTCCTTTTTCTCACCCAGTTATATTCTCCTTCCTTAGAGAAGTCATCCCTGTCATCCACATTGATTTCTCTACTGTTTTCATAACAATTCTACTTTTCCTTTACGGCATTATCACAATCTGTGTTTGTATTTATTTGTGTGCTATGTGATGTCTCCTTCATTAGGTGGGAAGCTTCTTGAGGGAAAGAACATGTCTGAACAATTAACTCCTAATGAAACGACTGCTATGCTTTTTCCAGGGTTTTCTTTTTTTCCTTGTTTTTTTTTGTGCTGGGGATTGAACCTAGGGCCTTGTGCATGCGAGGCAAGCACTCTACCAACTGAGCTATATATCGCCAGCCCCTTCTTTTTTTCCTTTTTGTAGTGCAGATAATCTTGAACACAGGGCTTTGTGAATGCCAGGCAAGCACTCTACCACAGAGCTGCACCTGCCGCCCCGGGATCATCTTTATAAATTGCTTGGAAGTTTGTGATCACTGCAGTCTGTGCTTGCTTGCATGCATGTTTGCCCATATTCTGTTCCATATTAACCACTAATAGAATATTGTCAACTTGGGCTGCAGTTATGGCTCAGTGGTAGAGCACTTGCCTAGCATGTGTGAGGCACTGCGTTTGATCCTCGGTACCACATAAAAATGAATAAATACAATAAAGGTATTAAAAATGTATCTGTCTAAAAAAAAGAATATTGTCAACTCGTGGCTGACTTTTAGTCTTATACCTTTGAACATAAACTGGTCTAGGACATACATAAGTTATTATTGTGTTTTCTGTGTTATACCAAATGAAGTAGATCTATTCTGGGAGGAGATCTACAAATGTGGACTCATACACTTAATTGCCAACCAGCATAGTTTCATTTTCATCAACCTTGAGAGCATTTTGAAATACCTATTTAGGATTAAATTCTGGAATGTGGCCAATAGGAAACCAAAGCTAACCCTGACTCCTCCCTTTCTTTTCAGGCTATGCTAACATTTTTCCCTAAGAAACATGATTTTACAAAATTGTAACTGAGTTTCCTGACAAAATCAGTGTCATGTGTCTTAATGTATATGTGTCCTACCTCTAAGATGTATAAAAATTCCTTAGAAATCTGATTCTAACTTGATCTTTTGAATCCATATATTCTAAGTCCTCATTATATTCTAGATGACTTGCCTATTAGATCAGATGTTGGCTCTGCTAAATCCTTTTTTTTGTTTTGTTTTTTTGGCGAGGGTTACTGGGGATTAAACTCAGGGGCACTCAACCATTGAGCCACATCCCCAGCCCTATTTTGTATTTTATTTAGAGAAAGGGTCTCACTGAGTTGCTTAGTGCCTTGTTGCTGAGGCTGGTTTTGAACTCATGATTCACCCATCTCAGCTTCCTGAGCCATTGGGATCACAGGCGCCACTCTGCCCAGCTTATTTATTTATTTTTTTAAGGTAGTGCTGAGAGAGAGAACCCAGTGCCTCACACGTGCTAGGTGAGCGCTCTACCACTGAGCCACAAACGCAGCCCTCTAAAGCCTCTGACTTCAACTACTTCCTTTTTTAAGGTAGTGAAGTCTAAACTATTATTGACAGTTTGAGCCAACTACAGTTTATAATAGGCTTGTCTGCTAGCCACATATCAACAAACAGGAGCTTGTTTAAAGAAATTTCAATCCTCTTTTTAAACTTCTTCATTGTTTTTTTTTTTTTTTTTTGTGTGTGTGTGATGCTGGGGATTGAACCCAGGGCCTTGTACATGCTAGATGAGCTCCCCACTGAGCTACATCCACAACCTAATGTCTTATTTGGAAAAAAAAACAAAAAAATAAAACAAAAACAAAAAATAAAAAAACCAGAGTAGGGAAGGGATGGGAATAGGAAGGAAGAAAAATGAATTGGGTATAACTTTCTTGTGTTCATATATGAATACATGACCAGTGAATCTCCACGTCGAGTACCAAGAATGGGAAGTTATATTCCATGTATGTATGATACGTCAAAGTACATTTACATTGTCATGTAAACCTAAAAAGAACAAATGAAAAAATTAAAAAACAGAGTAGATCTTAATGGAAATAATTAGACTTGGTTATCCTATGTAAAAACTAATGAGAAAATGTTGTAGCCTAGCATGTATGAGGCCCCAGGTTCAACACCCGCTACTACCAGGATATAAGTCACCCATAGTATTGGTTGTATAATGAAATCATATGAAATCTTAGAAGTTGAAATAAGTTGTTAACAGGGAGCTCTTTACCTTAATGTTATGGTCCCGGGGAATGGTCTCTTAGTACTTCATAGATTCTGAAACTTCTCTCCTGAGATCCATGGTCTCATTCACTTTGACACATCTGATTACTATGGGCTCCAGAAGATAACCCTAGATTGTCAGGCTTATTTATATAAAGAGGCTAGACAAGTAAGTAAATGAATCAGTAAGTGATAGAGGTGGGGTAAATGAAAGATCGTAGGGAATGGTGGGGATTATGATAGCTTGTGTCTCCTGTTTAGGGGGGTGTTCGAGAATTGGCCATTGTTGCCATGAGTTGTCAGATCTTCTAGTTTTTCTCAAGAACTTGCAAATATGTATATTTTATATGAAATGTCCTAAATAAAACATGTCTATATGATGAAATTAGCTTGAGGGTCATGTGTTTACTCTTTGTGCTTTTGAATCTATCCTGAATGGTGAACCTTGTTTTTTGCTAAGCTTATTACCCTTATTTAATAAATAAAGGATAATTCCCTTAGGACAAACTCATAATATGGTTAATTTGGTCTCCAAAATGGACAAGATTCTACTCCCTCAAATTGTAGACCTGTTGAACGCTGAAAGTGCCCTTTGAGACTATGCCAGAGTTCTTTTCATTGTGCCACAGACCCAGATTTTGAATCTAATTTTCAGCAAACAAGGGTTGGGCATGGTTATTGTACCTATACCTTGTATTAGCGATAGCATCATTTTGCCAGTGAGTGTAATGTAGCATGTTCTACGAAGCTAGATGACTCATAATAAAAAATCATAATCAAAATTATAATAAAAAATAGAGCTTTTACTGAAGGATTTTCCTTTAAGAGTATCTTTGGTCACACAGTTTAAAACAGCTAGGATTTCTTATTTTGGAACATTTTGATTTAATTTGACTCTGTTAATTTTTTTTTTTTTTTAATTACAGGCATATAGTTGGAAAGAGAGGGGACACTAGGAAGAAAATAGAAATGGAGACCAAAACTTCTATTAGCATCCCTAAACCTGGACAAGAGGGAGAAATAGGTAAGGCTCAGTATGTGTGTTACGTTTGTAATCACTTTTGCACCTGAATGGAGTAATGTAATTGAACTGAGGTGTTCAGGGACTTTATTCTCTAGGATCCAGTAGCAATTGGCCTTTTTATGATGGATCAGTATCAATCTTCCAAATGAGAAGAGATATAGACATCCTCCTTCAGATTTAATACCAGGGCCTTGACTTTATACTCGACCATGTGCTGATAAACTGAAGCTTCTAGATGTCCTTGTGCATTAGATTTCTCTTATGCTTTGGTAACTTGAAATGGAATTTGTGAATTGTTTCAAGTTAGACCTACAGAAAAACCAGTGAGATAAGAGAATATGAAACAAAGTTCAACCCTTTTTTTAAAAAAATATATTAGTTGTAGATGGACATAATACCATTCTTGTATTTCCTTATTTTTAATGTGGTGCTGAGGATCAAATTCAGTGCCTCAAACATGAGAGGCAAACGCACTACACCACTGAGCTACAACCCCGGCCCAGTTCAACCCTTTTAATATGTGTTCTCTATAAAGGTTTTTAATCTTGTTTTGTAAACTAGGAAGGAAATCATAAGAGTAATGATGAAAATAACATAATCTGTTTCAAATATTGCTCAGATGAGCAAAAACAGTTCATTGATGTAAATCAAGCCATAAAATGTCGGTACTAAGTGTTATTGTGAATTAAAGGCCCAAACTTTTGTTTTCAGTGGCTTTGAGAGGCACTGTAGAGACAACATATTAAAAAACTCATTCTAAAATGACAGGGTTTTTTTCAGAATCAAAAAGGACAGAAGCCTCCAATAATCTATTTTCTTTCTTTTTTTTTTGAGATGGGGTCTTGCTGTGTTGCCCAGGCTAGTCTCAACTCCCTGTGCTCTGGTGATGCCCCTGGCTCAGCCAGTCTCCCCAGTGCTGGGACTGTAGGTACATGCCCCCATACCTAGCTACTAGTAATCCATTTTTCATAAACACTCAAGAGATTTATTACATTTTGGCAGAAAAAAATTACGAATATTCTTTTCATTTTGTGCTGTGTAAGAATAATTATCTTGACAGATAACTAGCAGTTGCTTTTAGAGTAATGTTGTTCAAAAGAATTTTCTTCGATGACCAGAATGTTCTATATCTACACTGTACAAACAGGAGCCCTTGGCATGTGACTATGAGTACTTGAAATATGGCTGAAGTGACTGAGAAACCAAATTTTTAATTTATTTACTTCTATTTAGCTTGTTGTATGTGGGTTCTCATATTGAGTAGTACAGGACAGAGTTTTTGCTGGTCCTTTGGTATAGTAAACAAACTCTAGTATTAAAGAACTTTTTTTTTTTTTTTTTTTTTTTTTTTCATTTATCTGAAAAATTTTTTTTTTTTTTTTCAGTTTTTTTTTTTTTTTTTTTTTTTAAATTTTTTTTTTATTGGTTGTTCAAAACATTATAAAGCTCTTCACATATCATATTTCATACATTAGATTCAAGTTGGTTATGAACTCCCAATTTTACCCCAAATACAGATTGCAGAATCACATCGGTTACACATCCACATTTTTACATAATGCCCTATTAGTAACTGTTGTATTCTGCTACCTTTCCTATCCTCTACCATCCCCCCTCCCTCCCCTCCCATCTTCTCTCTCTACCCCATCCACTGTAATTCATATCTCTCCTTGTTTATTTTCCCATTCCCCTCACAACCTCTTATATGTAATTTTGTATAACAATGAGGGTCTCCCTCCATTACCATGCAATTTCCCTTTTCTCTCCCTTTCCATCCCACCTCATGTATCTGTTTAATGTTAATCTTTTCTTCCTGCTCTTCCTCCCTGCTCTGTTCTTAGTTGCTCTCCTTATATCAAAGAATATCTTGGAAGGACTTTTATTAAAATAAATACTTGTTTTATTAGAATTGTAAGTATAAAAACTTAACTTTTTCTCTAAAGCTTAAGTTAAAAAAAAAGAATTTTTTTTTCTTTTTTTGGTACTGGGGACTGAATCCCAGGAATGATCTACCACTGAGCTCTATTTCCAGCCCTTTAAAAAAATTTTTGTTTTTTTAAACGGGGTCTTGCTAAATTGCCAAACTGGCCTCTAACTTGCAATCCTCCTGTGTCAGCCTCCTGATACAGTGAAATTACAGGTGTGCACTATTGTGCCTGATTGAACATCTATTTTTACTTATGGTAGGTGTTCCCAGGAGGGGAATTGCTGGGTCATATGGTAATTCTGTGTTTAATTTTTTAAAGGAACTGTCAAACTTTCCCGTATCAGCTATACTATTTTATTTGCCTATTAGCAATGTTTAAGGTTTGCTTTGTAGGTATTGAACTCATTTTTCTACTTCATTTGTTGGTCTTAAAGATCCTCTTTTTTTTTTTTTAATATTTATTCTTTAGTTGTAGTTGGACACAGTACTTTTATTTTATTCATTTGTTTTTATGTGGTGCTGAGGATTGAACCCAGGGCCTTGCATGTACTAGGTGAGCTCAGCTCTACCACTGAGCCACCACTCCAGCCCCCCCCCCCCTTTTTTTTTTTTTTGAGAATTTTAATATTTATTTTTTAGTTTTTGGCAGACACAACATCTTTGTTTGTATGTGGTGCTGAGGATCGAACCCAGGCCGCACACATGCCAGGCGAGCGCGCTACCGCTTGAGCCACATCCCCAGCCCATTTTTTTTTTTTTTTTTTGATACTGGGAAAGACCCCATGGCCTCATGCATACTAAACAAATATTTTACCACTGAACTAGATTCCCATCTCCCTTTTTAATTTTAAGATTGGGTCTCTCTGAGTTGCACAGGCTGTCCTCAAACTTGTGATCCTTCTGCTTCAGCCTCCTGAGTAGCTGGGATTATAGGTGTGTACCACCATGACTCTTCAATATACTCTATTTTTAAACTTCATTCTGCTCAGATTGAATTTATTAGTAGTTTTCTTGGCTTTGGCCCTGTCCCTGTTCAGATGTATATGCACATTCAGAACCTTTTTAGTTCCCTAGAGATGATCTCTATCCCAAGCTGGTGGCCTTCAAGTGTTTTCACTTTTCTTTTGCTTGCAGTGATCACTGGCCAGCATCGAAATGGTGTAATTTCAGCCCGAACTCGGATTGATGTTCTTTTAGACACTTTTAGAAGAAAACAGCCCTTCACTCACTTTCTTGCCTTTTTCCTCAATGAAACTGAAGTTCAAGAAGGATTCCTGAAGTTCCAGGAAGAAGTGCTGGAAAAGTGTTCCATGGTAAGCAGTAAGCAAAACAAAAAGCTAAAAGAAAAAGTCAATATAAAAAAATATAAAAATGGTTCATAATTGAAATAAGCAGAAAGATACAAACTTCTCTCACCATGAAAAGTAACTATTTCTGGGAGCTGGGGAGCAAGTGGCACATGCCTATAATCTCAAGCTACTTGGGAGGCTGAGGCAGAAGGGTCAGAATTTTGAGGCCAGCCTCAAAAATTTAGTGAAACCCCATCTCAGACTTAGAACAAACAAATGAAAATGGCTGGCGATGTGACTCAGTGGTAGACTGCCCCTGGGTTCAGTTCTCACTTCTGAAGAGAAAAAAATTGTCATGAATATGTAAACAGTGAAGTGCTTATGACTAGGATAATAATAACAGATAATCCAGATTTAAAAACAAGTTTTAAAATTCCTTTTGAATATAGTTTTAGTTGATTTAAAAAATGAAGTTAAGATGGACATGGTGGTATGTGCCTATAGTTCCAGCTACTTGGGAGGCTGGCGAGCTGGAGAATCTGAGTTCAGGTTTTGGGTAACACAGACCCCATCTAAATGAAAAAATAAAAGTTCATCAATTAAAAAGAAAGTATGGAAATAATATAGCTTATTATAGAAAATACTAATAAAAAATGATCTGTAACCTACCTCTAAGAGATGGTATCGTGGCATATTTTTTTCAAATATATGTATATGTATCAGTGTGTTTGTACACTCATATTTAAAAGATAAAAGTTGGCTTATACATGATTTTATGTTCTGCAGTTTTGAAACATAGTATTATATCATGAACATTATTTTATTATTGAACAAAAACCTTAATATTTTGCTTTCTTTTTGGAGACTAGGAAGGAAATTATTTCAGTGATAATTAAAATCATCATCATCATCATCATCATCATCTGATTTTTCAGTTATTCAGATGAATTGATTTTATATTTTGAGTTGGGGTTTCAATATGTTGCTCAAGCTTAAAGTTGTAAATTCAGGTGATTCACCTCAACTTCCCAAGTCTGGGACTACAGATGTGTGCCTCCATGCCTGGCTCAGATGGCTTGATTTTTTTTTTTTTTTTTGGTTTCATTATATGCCACAGTCTGGCTGGGCACACAATCACGAGCCACCACACAGCTTGTAGATTCGAACAGCAACTCTTTATTCCCGAACTCACACCAGCCGTCTACAATCACGTTCTGGGGAAATCCACGTTCTCTGCCCAAATCCACGTTCTCTGCCCAAATCCACATTCTCTGCCCAAATCCACCTCCACTGGGCTTCTATCTCCAAAATATACTGTCTGAATCCCGTGAGAACTCAAGGGGAACTCAGGCAGCAGGATACGCCCTATTCCCAGCAGGAATAATCTTAAACCTTAAACCTGGAACCTAAACTGGGAACGCCCTAAACACGATTATCTTAAAACCGGGAACACCCTAATCTGCCTTGGTCCTTGAGCAAGGTCACCTACATTCAATGTCACTGCAACATGTCAGCAACATGGGGTACGCTGGCAAGGAAATTGTCATACCTACTTGGCTAATGGCTCCCAGCAATTATACAGATATGTAACTGTTTAACCTTTATTTTATGTTTCTATTATGTTAATTTCTATTTTCTTATTATTATAAATAATTGCTATAATGAGTAATCTCCATACATTATGATCTACGTACTTACTTAAATTTTACAGAAAGAGTATGTGTGTTTGAGATTTTTTTTTATGTATACATATAAATTACCTTCAGGAAATTTTATAGAACCTTATACTTCAAATTAGAGTTTTGAGTTTCTTTTTCCTACTTTTGTTAATACTTGGTATTACCATTCTTACAAGGTTTTTACCTTGAGGATTGAACTTACAGGCACTTTACCACTGAACTTCATCCCTGGTCCTTTTATTTTTCGTTTTTGAGATAGTTTTGCTAAATTGTGAAGCTGACCTTGAACTTGTGATCCTCTTGCCTCAGCTTTGTGAATTGCTGGGATTACAGGCATTACCCCGTGCCTGGTTTGTATGACCCATTTTTAAGTGACTAACGTGGCATTCAGGTGCTAAAACAAGGCCATAGCTATAAGTCAAATGCTCAAATATGTAGAGAAATGTGGATGTTATAAAAAGTGAATCATCAGAACATCATTTTTCAAAGCAAGATGATTTCGGCTGGGCATGGTGGTGCACACTTGTAATCCCAGCAATTCTGGAGGCTGAGACAGATTTCAAGTTCAAAGTGAGCCTCAGCAATTTAGTGAGGACCTAAGCAACTCAGCAAGACCCTGCCTTTAAATAAAAAATAAAAGAGGTCTGAGAATGTGGTTTAGTGGTTAAGTGTCCCTGGGTTCAATAGCTGGTACCAAAAAAAAAAACCCCAAGAGATAATTTCATTCTTGGTGGTAATGGAAGGTTGGGTAGATCAGGAACATTGAAGTGTCATATAGGCTGCTATTAGTTTTTGGTGGGCAGAGGCTTGAAAGTTTTGAAATTATTTTATCTTGTAAATACTCACCAGTTGAATATTCTTTGGAACGTTACAGATACCTCATTATGAGACAATTGAATTGAAATAAATTAGTCTTTTTTTTCTCTTTGTATTAAGTGTATGCTCACTTTTATTTTCTCATTTTTTTGGCTGCTGGAATGGGCTGACACAGAACAAATATTGGAAAGATTACTTTAATTTGGCCTGAATGAGATTATCCATAAATGTCATGCCTTAATCAGTCTGAAGTACTTCCTTCCTGCTTTTAGGAAGACTGCATACTGGCATGGCCTGCTTTTTGCTTTTACATCAGGTACTGATAACAGGAGGAAATAAGCACAGCATAAAAGAGGAAATAAGTAAGTTATATGGAAGGGATTTTAGTGATAATAGAATGACAGCAGATAGCTATAAAAGCCTGTAGGCATTTTCTAGTACTACTTTAAACTTAGACCTCCAATTTAGGTGAGTTTCCTTCTAGAAGCTTTGAAGAACATATGGAGTTGTTCACAAAAGTAGCAATTGTTTCCCGTGTTGCATTTGGTCTGTTTTGGTTCCTCTGAATCTCACCTGACATCTCCGATGGAGTTTTATCATCTTTAAAATAGGGAAGTTCTCTTTATTCCCTTACTTAAGACAGGGGAAAAGGGTAACAACTCTTTTTGGAGGGGAAGGCAGGAGATGGGGTCTTGTTTTGCTGCCCAGTCTGGCCTCAAACTCACCGGCTCAAGCGGTCTTGCTACCTTAGTCTCCCAAGTACCTGGGATTGCAGGTATGCATCACCACTGCTAGCTAAAAACAGAAAATTTTAATTTTGATGGAGTCCATTTTTTAAAATTGTTTATGCTTTTTATGTGTCTAAAAAACTTTTATCATGGGCTGAGGTTATGGCTCAGCAGTAGAGCATTCATCTTGCATGTGGAATACCCTGGGTTTGATCCTCAGCACCACATAAAATAAATAAGTGAAATAAAGGTATTGTATCTAACTACAATTAAAAAAACAAAAACAAAACACCTTTATCACAAAGTTGTCAAGGTTTTTTCTTAAATCTAAACATGACAAACCTATGTTTTAACTTTTATATTTAGGCTTTTGATTCCTTTTGAGTTAATTTTCATGTATGGTGAAGAGTAAGTTTGAGTTTCACTTTTTTGCTTATGTGTCTATTTGTTCCAGTGCCATTTCTTGAAACAACTCTAATTTCACCTTTGATAACTTTGGTTTATTTGTCAGAAATCAAATGACTTTGTTTTTGTGGGCCTATTTCTGGACTTTATTCATGTATTTATTTTATACTAATACTATACAGTCTTGTTACTCTAGCTTTATAGTAAGTCTTCTGGTCTTAATAGTGTAAGTTCTCCAACTTTGTTCCTGTAGTATGCTGTTTTTAAGTCCTTTGGGTGTAGACCTAGGAGAGGGGTAGCTGGGTCAAATGGTGGTTCCATTACCAGTTTTCTAAGGAATCTCCATACTGCTTTCCATATTGGCTGCACCAATTTACAGTCCCACCAGCACTATATGAGTGTACCTTTTTCCCCCACATCCTCGCCAACACTTATTGTTGTTTGTCTTCATAATAGCTGCCATTCTGATAGGAGTGAGGTGAAATCTTAGAGTAGTTTTGATTTGAATTTCTCTAATTGCTAGAGAATAATGAACAAAAATGATGAACATTTTTTCCTAAATTTGTGGATTGATTGTATATCCTCTTCTGAGAAGTATCTGTTCAGGTCCTTGGCCCATTTATTGATTGGATTATTTGAGACAAGGTATCTAAGTTGCCAAGGCTGACCTTGAACTTGTGCTCCTCCTGCTTCAGTTTCCTGAGTTGCTGGGATTACAGATGTGTGCCACCATGCTTGGCAAAAACATTTTTATTTTTCATTGATAATAATTGAATATTTTCATAGTGTGTAGTATAAAGTTCAATGTGTGGTGCACAGTATATAATAGTTAAATCATCTAACTGTCAGTCTGTCATTTCTTACATGTATTACATCTTTGTTTTGGAAACCTTCAGAATCCTTTCTACTACTTATTTTGAAATATTCAGTTAAAAATTGTCAACCATAGTTATAACACTGTTATGTAGAATATTAGAAGTTATTTCTCCTGTTCATTTGCACCCTGGTACCTGTCAACCATCCTTTGTCCATTCCTGTGGTTTTGATAACAAGATAATACTGACTGACTGATTCAAAATCAGATGAGTAAAATGAATTGGGAACGGTGCCTTGTATTTTATTAGAGAGTTTGTATAGATACTATTTCTTTTAAAAATGTTTGATAGAATTCATCAGTGAAGCAAACAAAATTTGGGAGTTTTGCAAGAAAGTTTTTTTTTTGTGTGTGTGTGTGTGGGGGAGTATAGGGGGATTGAATTTAGGGGTATTCAACCACTGAGCAACATCCCCAGCCCTATTTTTTTTTTTTTTTCATTTTATTTAGAGACAGGGTCTCACTGAGTTGCTTAGTGCTTCACTTTTATTTAGGCTGGCTTTGAACTCTTGATCCTCCTGC